GAGGAAGAATCAGGAGGAACAGAAAAAAAAAACAATAAGACAGCAACAAGAAAAAAGAGAAAGATAGGAAGAAACATAGATAAAGAAAAAAGTAAAAGCAAAAATAGACAAAGGAAAGAAAGAAGAAAAGAAAAGAAAAAAAACGAAAACACAGGATGCCGAGGCGTGAGATGCAACACAGGAATGCCAAGTAAGTGCGGAATACGAGATGAGGGGCATAAGAGCGAAGAAAGAATATAGGCCTATCTCAGAGCAGGGACTGGGAGTGGAAAATAGCAGTGTGAAAAGGTGCGTGCATACATACATGCATACATACATACATACATACACACGCACACACACATACATACACACACACATACATAACCACACACATACATAACCACACACACGAATCAACCCAAAAATGACCACACACACAAAAAAAATAATAAAATCAATCCCATCCCAGCTTCCACGAGCAGCCCCCAAGAACGCCCAGGGAACGCCCAGGGAACGCCCAGGGAACGCCCGGCCGAGTGAGCAGCCTTTTCAACTGTAACGCCGCGGCTGTTCACTTGGGCCCGACTGTCGCTGCTGCTCCTCGCTAGTTACGGAGGCTCTAAAGAAGGCTCCGGCGGATGCCCTTAAGCGGCGGAGGCTCGAGTGCTTGTGTGTGCAGGGGGGAGGGGAGGGGGAGGGGGGAGAGGGGAGAGGGTTGTGTGTGTGTGTTGAGGGAGGGGAGGAAGGGACAGGGAGTAAGGAAGGAAGGGAGGGACGGGACTGTGCGTGGATGGAAAGGGAGAGAGGAAAAGGACAGGGTGTGTGAGTGGGAGGGGGTTTTGTGGCAGGGAGGGAAGTGTGTGTGTGTGTGTGTGTGTGTGTGTGTGTGTGTGTGTGTGACTACGCGCTCGCATGGCTGTGACAGACAGGCGTAAATAAATGACACTGTATAGAAAACGGACATAAAAACTTTTCCTTCCATTTCCCTCTCCCTCCACATCACACCCCCTCCTCCCTCCGCCTACCTCGGCCCCCTTAAACCCCCCCTCCCCCTCCCCCCTCTCCTCCTCCAACCTCAGCGCCTAAGACTGACTCCTTCGACCTCCGGTGATAAATAACATCATCTTTTCCTCGCCCTGCCTCTCCTCTTTTTTTTCGCTCCTCGCTTTGCCTCTCCTCTTCTCGCTTCCTCCCTCCCTTCCTCTACCCTCCTCTCTCCTTTCCTTTATTCGTCTCTCCTCTCTTCTAACTTTTCTCGTTTTCTCCTCTCCTCTCTCATTTTCTTGCTTCTCCGGTCCACTCCTTTTCGTCTCTCTCCGTCTATCCTCTCCTCTCCGTTACTTGTCTCTCCCCTTCTCTCCTCTTGGTCTCTCTTCCTCCCTCCTATTCTCTTCTTTTGATCTCTCTACCTCTCTCCTCTTTGCTCCCCCCCCCCCCACGTCATTATGGCTCAACCCGCGTACTCTAACGATGGGATTTTCGCCAATTAAGCTTTTCACTCCCGAAGCTTTGTTCTTCCCCCTCCCCCTCCCCCCCTCCCCCTACTCCCGTACCCCTCCCCCCCTCTTCACACCTTCGAGGCGCTTTCATCACACAACGGTTGGCTTCTGGTTTTCATTTTTCCATTTTCCTTTGTTTATTTTTATCGACTTCTCTTTTTCAACCACTTTTCTGGGGGAGAGGGGGAGAGGGGGAGGGGAAGGGGATTTTTTTTGTTCGTCTATTTTCGTTTCCAATTTCCTTTTGTTTTGCATCTTCTTTAAGTTTTTTTTTTTCTTTGTCTGATTCAGTCTATCGTTTTTCTTTTTTATCATTATCTTTATTTTTCATTGTATTTTTTGTCAATATTTGCTTCTGCTTTAATTTTCGTTTTTCTTTTTTTTATCATCTTTATTTTTTTTTTCTTTCGGACTTCTTTCTTATTCTACTTCGTCTTTGTTATTCATATTTTATCTTCCTTTATTTTCTTCAATCTTTTTTTTTTTTTTTTTTTAATTCTTCGTCTTCTGTATTCTGATTCGGTTGTTCCCTTCCTTTTTCCGTTCTTCTCTCTGTGCCCTTTCGTTCTCATCTCTGCTTTCTCCCCCTTCCCCTTTCCCTCACTATCTCCCTTCTTTTAATTCTTCATCTTTATCTTTACTTTTAACACCCTCCCCTCCCCCTTCTTCGCGTATTTCCTTCCTCTGTCATTTATCAAGTCTCCCCGTCTTGTTCCCTTTTGTGCCCTCTTCTGGAATGGAGGAAGAAGGAGGGAGGATGAGGAGGGAGGAGGAGGAGGGAGGAGGAGGAGGGAGGACGGAGGGAGGAGGAGGAGGAGGGGGAGGGAGAAAGGAGGGATGGAAGAGGGAGGAATAACAAATCATGAGGAAGGAGGAAAGGTGAGGGGGGAGAAGAAGGAGAAGAAGGAGGAGGAGGAAGATGAAGACGAAAAAGGAGGAAGAGGAGGAGGAGGAGGAGGAAAAGGAGGGAGGAATGGCGAATATGGAGGAAGGAGGAAAGAGACTGGAGGAAAAAGAGACAGGAGGAGAAGGAGAAGGAAGAGGAGGAGGAGAGATTAAAGTGGAAGCAGGGCGCAAGGGAGAGGGGGAGGAAGGGAGGAAGGAAGTAAGGAGAAGGAGAAAGGCTTTCCATCTAAAGGCAAAAACACTACTCTCGCTGAAGACGTTCTCTTTGCTTGTTTTTCTTCTGCCTTTTGCCCTTATCATCATCACTTAGAGTAAAAGAACAGTATCGCAAACCCTAAACCTATCCAAAATGTTTAGTGATGGCGTTATTAATCAATCATTTTCACGAACGATTGCTCCAATTTTTCCTCCTCCTCCTCCTCCCATTCTATTCCACCTCCACCTCCTCCTCCTCCCCCCCCTCCAATTCCACCCCTTCCTCCCTATCCCATTACCCCCACCTTCTCCTCCCTTTCCCCCCCTCCCTCTCCCCTCTTCTTTCAATTCACCCCCTCCCTGCCC